AAAAAGGAGGATTTTGGGTGCGAGAATAGAGACTACCTGGTCTCTGTCAATTCTAAGGGAGGCCATGAAAGACACGAGGGGAGACTATGGAGGTGGGTGGCTAACCAGGTGTAGAACGCCTCGTCGTAGACAAGCGAGGGGGTGTTGCTGCCGACTGTTCAATGTTGAATTCCGGAGTAGTTTATTGCAGCAAGAGTTCTCCGTAGAAACATTTGAGGGGTGAGGTTATTTTCGTCCGTTCAATTAAAATTGGTCCTATTTGAGGTTTAAAAAGTCGTCGGTCCTATTTAGCTTCGCCGCTTATGTTTTACTCTCATTCAAGTCTTTTTCCCAATGAATTAGTCATCTTCAAGTATTTGTGATTAAAAATTATTATTGTCATCATCACAAATTCACAATAATGAAGAAATGGTAATTACGATTTCAAGGTAATAAGATTAGAAATATTAAGATCTGATAAAAATTAAATCACATCATGTTAGAATCACTCGGATCAGATTAAAAAATTCAGATGGGATCAATGGATCATATCCCGAAGAGCCTTCATTTGACAACGAAATTAAATGTCCACTAGGCTTTTTTTAGCGGGGTTTTTATGTACTTCTAACATAAGATAGTGATAGAGATTTGACAGAGCTTTTTCAAAATTGGTAGGGATTTTGGCAGGGATATGTCAAATCCGTGCCAAAAACAGCATGACACAAGCTATTTGACACAAAATTTTCGGTATATTCGTGACAAACCAGTGTCAATCCCATAATTTTTTTGTAATGAGGAGTACGATCTAATAATTGTTTTCCAGAAATTTACATCATAAATAAGCTCACACATTTTAAAGTTAATATACTTATATGTATATTTGTATCATTATTCACAATGCGTAATTAAAGTTATTCAAACCCATTTCATTTACTTTAGAAAATTTAACGTAGAAGTCGGCCTCACTTAACGCTCACACTCAAATGACATGAACTTTCATAGTAGAGTTAACATTTATCTCAATCTTATGAATTTGATTCATATTATGCATAGTGTGATTTGCTCACTTGCACAGGAAAGCACTTAGCTTTATCGATGTCATTTGGATTCCACATCAATAAAAAATGTACATATTTGAATAGGATATCATGATATTGAGCCTATATATAGAACCCACATGTCAATTTTATTGTTACTCCAAAATACATTGTGATAAGAAACTTTTGCCAAAAGTTAACACTATATATCAATTCTAAATTTTCAAGGTATTGTCAACAAGAATGGGTAGTGATCTTCGTTACAACAATCACCGATTTCTTTTAATCCTCTTCAAATGCAAAGATAGAATTGAAGAAGCGCAAAGTTTCTGAATAAATAAGTATTTCAAAATTGTGAAATTTCTTTTAAAACCCATCAATGATACTTGACACATTAATATTTTCATTTCCTTCTATTTTCATTACTTTGCATTCTATGGACATTTTTCAACTAATTTCTCATGAATATAAAAAAAACAAGTCCAAAACCAAAATAATAATAAATCATATTCACATCAGTTTTTTAAAATCATTTCTCATTTCTCAATAAAATATCACTACACATTATTTTTAATGCAAAAAAACGTTACTAAAAAGTTTTGTAAATAATTCACAACTCTATTAACATTAATATTTTAATTCATATCAATGCGTCACTAACCGGGGCATGCCCCAAATGTTACACTAGTTAGGGTCTGTTTGCAACAACTTTTGCTTTTAAAAAAGTGTTTTTTTAATGAAATGAGGAGAAATGATTAAATAAAAATTGATAGTGTTTGAGAAAAAATTGATTTTGAAAAGTAAAAGTGGGTAGTGTTTGGTAAAATAAGTGTTTTTTGTGTAATAGAAAAAGTAAAAGCACTTTTGATGCGGAAGCCGAGAAAAATAAAAGTTGTAGTGTTTGGGAAAATAAGTGCTTTTTTAAAGCCGAAAGCTGAGAAGTGCTTTTTTAAAAGGAGTTGCAAACCAACCCTTAGCAACTATAAGAGCATATCCGATGCTAAAACGTTAACGGTGCATACGCGACATGAGAACTTACATCATTTTGGTAAGTTTTTCTACACAATGTCAAATACAATGTCTAAATGTAGACATTGTAGTTGACATTGCAGACAAAAACTCACCAAAAACACATAAGACCGTGAAAAGAAGGAGAAAGAAATGTCATAAAATCAATATTTTGTGTCTATCTCTCTCATGTCACATGTGCACCGTGCACATTGTAACATTAGAGATGCTCTAATGATGTTCTAATTTACATTGCAGCGATTGATGATATACCTACTCATAGTAATTTAAGTCATATTTTTGTTTATCAGATTAATCAGACCAGATCGGTCCAGAGTCCTGACGCGACCAGGGGCGGATCCAGAAAAAGTTGTTATTGGGGGCACTGATATGTGACAGAAGTTTAAATATCAAAATACACTTCAAATTTGAATCATGCAATAGCTCAATATTTTTAATATTGATAGAAAGAAATTGACGCAAGCTAGCATTGTGAAATTTTTTATTGACAATATTAGACAATAACCATTTTAAGAGCATCTCTAATGGCACAATGTGCATGGTGAACATATGACATGAAAGAGATAAACACATAAATGTTAATGAACAAGTACAATATGTCTCTCTCATTAATTGAAACTCTAGTGTTTTTGGTAAGTTATTCTCCACAATTTACGGATGTCTAGAAGTAGACATTATGATAAAAAAGTTATTAAAACTATATAAAACCGTGGAAAGAGAGAAAAAGAATGTACATAATTTGTTTTCTGTATTCATCTCTCGCATTTCACATGTGAACCGTGCACATTACATTAAAGATGCTCTAACTTTCTCCAATATAATACCACTCGCACATTATATTAAGGAGTATGTGTTTTTCAATTATATCCATTATCTTTTCTACTACTAGTATATTTCAATTAGTAATTGAAGAATTGAGATGTTTTCTTTTGGACTGAAATGTGTTGGTTTGGTCTGGTCTGGTCTGGTCTGAACTGGTCTGGTCCGGTAAACGTCTGGTCGTTGTGTATTTTATAACTACGGATGTCAAGTCTGATCTAATCTGGTCTGGTCTGATCTGGATTGGTGTGATCTGGTCTGGGACTAAAAACAATCCAAAAGAAAACATCCTTAAACTTCTACTCCCTAATATAATTGTCAAATCTATTAAAAGTATTGGTGTGGTTTTTAGAATGCAATTAATGAAGGTAATTAGAACAAAAGTTTTAAATGTTCATCTAATCCTCTGTATAAAAATAGCATACTCTGCTATGAACGTTGTGAATCTAAAATTAAAATTAAATGAATCACTAATTAGAATAAAACTAAATACGTAAGCGATAAAGCTTCAAGATCCAAACCAAAATGGATACAAACTAGAATCTTATCAAATACCATAACTAAAAATTTGAAATTCCACTACCGAAATAAATTTGAGATGACCTTGCAATTATGATTTAAACAATGTTCGGTAAGATTAATGGGGGCATTCGTTTATTCTTATTGGGGGCACACCATAATATTATAATATATCATCTTTATATATATAAAGATCCTATGGTGAGATTTCAGGTGGGATCTATTTGGAATCAAAACATGTGAAAAATTGTTGTCTCAATTAAATATCTATCTTAATACTTCATCAATGCACTTTCAGTTACGAAAACATGCATAATACTAGCTAATTAGTATTTTAACTTCAATAATACGTAGTATTTGCTAAAGTAGTAGTTGGGTAATGCGGAGTACTAAAACTAATTGAGTACTCCGTATAATAATAATTAGTACTCCGTATAATAATAATTAGTGGAATACTTTTTTTGAAGATTTAAAAAATGTTTTCAAATGTTTTTGCTTAATAAAACACTTTTTGAAATTATTTTGGAAAAAGTGATTAGTAGTAAAAGTCAGTATCACTTGAGAGAAAAAATGTTTTTGAAAAGTAAAAGGTGACATTGTTTGGTAAATTATGCGCTTTTTGTGTAGTAGTAAAAGTAAAGAGCAGTTTTCAGCCAAAAGTCAAGAAACGTTTATCTCACGTTTGCGGTATTTAAAATACATATGAAAGTTTGGAGTGTTATCTCACGCTTCTTCAGAGTTTAAGTATTTTGATTATTTTTCTCATAAAAATATGACGAACATAACAACTTCTCAGTGACAGTTAGTAACTACAAATTAGAAAAGTCACATTCATAAATTAAAAATCATAAAACTTACACTTACTCTGTCTCATGAAACTTTGCTAACATTCGTTATTTTTGTTATCTCAAAAATTTATAATCCCCTTGTCTCAGAAAAAATTATACGAAAAATGAGAAAAAACTAAAATGGTTGATAAGTTTGATAAACCGTAAACATATATGGATCACCAAAGGGTTCCTAGATTTATCATCTAGTGATTAATTTACACTAAAATTGATGAGGTTATTGGGGGCATGTGCCCCCATTAGTTATACATTGCATCCGCCCCTGGACGCGACAAGACTAAATCAAGATAAACGAGATGAAAAAAGCTATTCAAATTTTCATTGCAATCAAACTAAACGAGATGAAAAATGAAAAAAGTTATTCAAATTTTCATTCCAATTTCGTTTGTTGCTTCCGCCAGGTCCAAATGATTATGAGAAATAAACAAATAAAAAACAAAAAAGCAAACAGACCATCTCTCTATCTCTTTGACTTTCTATAATTTTGACACATTTTTTCACATTATCTGAACGTTGGTGAGTGCAAAAAAACAAAACAAATATGGAAAGTAAGAGAGGATTTACAATCCCATTTAATGTATACTCCGTTATTAAGGATCCTGAAAACGATTGATACGTGCACGTTATTAAGGATCCTGAAAACGATTTTGTATCAATCTGTCCTGTACCATCGGTATCATGATCTGTCTGTCTGCTTATTTTTGTGGTTTCTGTGTACTAGTGAATGAATTGAACTCATCATTCTGTCCTTTACTTATTGGTATGACAGACTAGCTAGCTGCACTGCTCCAAGAATATGGCAATCAAGAAAGATGCCCAGAAAATGGCAGAAGCAGATGTGAGAGCCCCACTCATCATAGAAGAAGATGGGCATGGAGAAGAACAAGCCCAGAAGGTTCACAGCAAGGAAAGGAGATGGATGGTCTTCTTCAGTACAATTGTTGCTGTCTGCGGTTCTTATTCTTTTGGATCTTGTGTAAGTGGCATAGACAGAAGCCTCTATATATGCATGATTGATCTTCCCCTCTGATTTGTTTTATGTTTTGGCATAAATGAGACAATCTCTGGTTTCATATTTTATTTGCAGGCAGGCTTTTCATCACCAACTCAAACTGCTATCAGGGAAGATCTACATCTATCTCTAGCAGAGGTATGTTTGACTCTCATTTAGCAATTAGCCGATAACATGTTATAACGAGTTGTTCATAGCGGGTTTGTCCACCGGATTATAAAAAGGTGTTTGATAATTTAACTGTTTTTCAGCGGGCAAATTAAATAAAAATAATAAAAATAAATCAAATAACTAATTTACCCTTACTCTAATGATCGTTTAAACGCAGCCCCTTAAGCGATGGACTCATTCAGTCATCCTTAAACGCGAAACAGATCGAGGCCTGGGATTTTGTGAAGCTTGGCACAAAGCTTAAACACAAAAAAGCAGACCTGGGATTTTTATGAGAAGCAATAGATTTGATCCCGATAACCACAAAATCGCCTACACGCTTGTTCACTAGATGGCTCTGGTTGGCTAAGCGTTTTCTTACAGAACCCTTCTGCCTCCTAAACCGCTCGGACTTCTCTGTTGACAATTTCAGTTCTGAACCGCAGGGCCCAATCCATTGTGTTTGCGTGCTTAATTTAAACATTTCCCATGTTCGTTGGACTGGAAGTGTTCTACAAATGTGTTGTGGGGTAGAGAAGTTTGCCTTGAGATTACAGTAACCAGGCAAAAATGAAATTGCAGATATTCTCGGGAATGCTTGGGGCTTTAACTTATAAGGGTGGAAATGGAATTATAGAAAAAACGGAAATTGTGAGTGTGTGTTTAGTAAAAAGGGACTGTAAATATAATTTTTCGTTAAAAGAGATCAACCCACTAGACCACTACTTTTTACTCAAACGTCGATTTTCCAAACACCGTCGAAATCTCACTCAATCTCACTAGGCCATAAGTTTTTGGGTCGGTCTCAATATACACGCCATTTCTCACGTTTATTTTCAATTCTATTTTAAGTTTTATGCGATACTAAAACAATAGTAATGTTTCTTATCACAAAAATGAGGCTGTTTATTTTATATAATGACAACTAAATTCACTTTATAAATATATCACTTTACAACATGTATGTACAACTATGGATTCTATTATTTCAATTGTATAACAGTCAAAAAAGTTATACATACAAAATTTTACAAAAGAAAATTTTTTTTGTTTGTTGTGTGCAGTACTCATTGTTCGGCTCCATTTTGACATTTGGGGCCATGATTGGAGCAATAACGAGCGGCCCCATTGCTGATTTCATCGGTCGCAAAGGGGTAAGTTAAGAAGCTGTTCTCTTCGCCTGATCTGAATGTTTCTGATCTGAACTTTTTAAGTTCTGATCTGATCTGATCTGAATTTTTCTGATCTGATCTGATCTGATCTGAATCTTTCTGATCTGATCTGATCTGAATCTTTCTGATCTGATCTGATCTGATCTGAATCTTTCTGATCTGATCTGAATGTTTCTGATCTGGTCTGATCTGAATGTTTCTGATCTGATCTGAATCCTTCTGATCTGATCTGAATCTTTCTGATCTGATCTGATTTGAATGTTTCTATGATTATAATTATGATTATAATTATAATTATAATTATTATAATTGCAATTACAAATATAATTTAAATAAAATTATAATTATAATCGTAACTATAATAATAATACTCCCTCCGTCCCAAAATCGTTGGCCAATGTTGACTTGCACGTGGATTAATAAAGTAAAAACTGTGTGGTTAAAATTTGTGCAGAGGAGAGAGAATTAACTTTAGCCACATATTCCTTACTTTAAATGGAAATGGCCAACCTTTTTGGGACGGCCAAAAAAGGAAATTTGGCCAACCATTTTGGGACGGAGGGAGTAATAATAATAATAATTAAAATTAAATTTAAAATGAAAAAAATTATACCTATTACACTAATTATAAATATAGATATAATTATAACTGTAATTATATTTTTAATTATAATTACTTATATAATTATAATTGTAATTGTAATTATAATTACAATATTTATCTCTATAATTGTAACTATAGTTATCAATATTATTATAATTACTCCGTAAAATAATTACAATAGTAATAATAATAATAATAATAATAATTATAATAAAAATAATAATTATAATCATAAATTATAATTATAATATAATTATAAGTATAATTATAATTATTATAATCAGAATTAATAATAATTATAATTATATTAAAATTAATTATAATTATAATATTATAATATAATAATATAATTATAATTATTATAATTATAATTAATAATAATTATAATTATATTAACATTAATTATAATATTATAATATAATAATAGTACTATAAATACAATTAATATTATCATAACAATATTATTATATTAATATTATTATTACAATATATTAATAATAATACGATTATTATTATTATTAGTATTATATTATTATAATATTATATTATAATTATAATTATAATCATAATTATAATTATGATTGTAATTATAATTATAATTACATATAATTATAATATAATATTATAATAATATTAATCATATTATTATTATTATATTGTAATAATAATAATAATAATAATAATAATAATAATAATAATTATAATAATAATAATAATAATAATAATAGTCTTCTTAATAATTGCATTTATATTACTATTATTATATTAAAATATTATAACTATTATTAATATCTTATTTCTTTATCATATTATTATTAATATATTAATAATAATTATATAATAATAATAATAATAATAATAGTAATAACAATATTAATAATAATAATTAATCTATATATATATAATAACAAAATAGTGGAGGAGATTTTGGGCGGGAACACTGTAGCTAACGTTTTGGGAAATTTAAGAACGTACATTAGTGGGGCGCGGTCAAGTAGTGTCTTTTGGGATTGCAAAAAAAAACATTAATTGCTACAAAAATGTGTGATGCCTTTTGGGATTCTCAAAAGGATACATTCACTCCAAAGCTGTTAATTAAAACCCCGTGCTTCGTACGTAACAGCATCAGTAAACGATGCGATCAAGTAATAATACTCCATAATAAATAGCAACATGCACGTTATGGCAATAACCGGTTATATACAATTTATACATGAGTTTTCTCCACTGAATATTAGGCAAGCAACGGACAAATGCTCATCATAGTCATCAAACCAGATTGAGCACTAAGGATATAAAATGCTAGACCCCACTAATGTTGAATTTCATTTTATCTTGAATAAAGTTGATGATTTCGATTTTATAACTTTCGAATGAATGGAACACAAGGTTTTGGGTAATTTTGATCAAAGAAGATGACCGCCGCTGCCGGTTTTCTTGGCCGGAGCTTTGGGGGAGGAGACCGGATCTTACTGTAGGTGACGTGACGGGCGGTCATTTTGGCCTGAACCCTAGCTTCCTCTGATGTTCTGAATCGTTTGAAGATCGGAAGCTACGGTTCCTTTGTGATTTGGTGGAGGTGTGTTTAATTTGGGAAGGATCGCAGTAGGCACTAGGCAGTAGCAGTTGGAAATGGGGTTAATTCATTGGGTCTGTTTGTTTTTTGGCGTTTAATTTTCAGGCCAAAACGCTGTGTGCTTACCATGGCGTTTTGGCTTTTTCATTATTTTGGTATTGGGAATTTTGGGCTTAAAAGTCAACTTGGTTATTTTTTATAGAATAAACTGAGGTGAGGGCTGAGATATATGTTTGTCTCGAGGGCGGGATATAGTAAATATCAATATTATCAAGTGGTCTTTTTAGTTGCTATATATGTTCTGGAAACAATATATAAAAAAGATATGAGAAAATGTTATTTACGTAGATTATTTAAAGTTTTCTTAGCTAGAGTTTTCTCGGTTAGATTTGAAAGTGAAATTCATTTTGCTAATTTTTGTCATTTGAATTACTTTTTTTAAGTATCAATACTTATGTTTTTATCCTTTGATCCCTTTATCTTCTATTTTTATCCTTTTGATTATCTTTTTATTTTAATTGTTTTTCTTTCTTATTTCTTATGTTTCTAGCTTCGATATCATGTATCGATTCATATTATCTAACCTCAAATTTTTTTCTAACTCAAGTTTGGATATTGTGTGAAATATGTTTTCACTTGATCTATTAAATTTTAATTATTCTACGAATGAGATAGTAAAAATGGGATCCAATTAAAGGAAGTGAGAAGTGAGAATATATTTCAACTATTATTCAAAAATAATTGTAATACGGAGTATTTAATATCTCATGGTATAGAAAAATCCCGTGCATCGCACGGGTACTATACTAGTATAATAATAAAAGTGATAAATCATGTTTGAACTTTTCTGATCTGATCTGATCTGAATGTTTCTGATCTGATCTGAATGTTTCTGATCTGGTCTGATCTGATCTGAATCTTTCTGATCTGATCTGAATCTTTCGGATCTGATCTGATCTGATCTGATCTGAATCTTTCTGATCTGATCTGATCTGATCTGATCTGAATCTTTCTGATCTGATCTGATCTGATCTGAATTTTTCTGATCTGATCTGATCTGATCTGAATAAAATAAGAATAAGCAATAAGTAATAAGAATAAGACGAACAGAACATCACCTAAGAGTGGGCTGGGCTGGAAGATTTTGTTTTCTTGCACTCAATCACATTTTCTATAACAGAGTGGCGTCTAATAATTAAGAGAAAAGGGGTAAATAAGCCCACATACTAATAAAAAAGGTCAAATAAGCCCTTATATACGAACCTCTGTCCGGCCGTCGCCATTTGGGGCGGTTCCCAGTGAAATTTTTTGATGATTCTTTTGAGCATCTTATTCATTAAGCCTAGTTTACTCATACCAAATTTCAGCTAAAAATTCAATCGGAAGGCATTCAAATGAATTCTTGAAGATAACTGCGCTTTTATCTTCAAGAATTCATTTGAATGCCTTCCCGATTGAAGTTTTAGCTGAAATTTGGTATGAGTAAACTAGGCTTAATGAATAAGATGTTCAAAAAAATTCATCAAAAAATTCCACCGAAAACCGCCCCAAATGGCGACGGCCGGACAGAGCCTCTTATATAAGGACTTATTTGACCATTTTTTGTTAGTACATGAGCTTATTTGCCCCTTTTCTCTTATTATCCACAGGGACGAAATTGAATGCATCCAAACATAACTAAAAGTCAAACTGAAAGTCAATTTTGGGAGGGTTGGAGTAAACTTTTTAGAGAAAAGATCACATTTCCACCACACAAAAGTATAGTACTCCTTAATTTTGGGAGGGTGGGAGTATATATTGCTCCTTAATTTCTATTACCATGCGTTAAAAGCAATTGGAATAGATGGTGTTTATTAGCAAGAGCAGTATAATTAGCAAAAAGTACTCCCTAGTACTCCCTCCGTATCACTTTTATTGTCACAGTAGGCTTTTGTAGTAGTTTAAGAAAATTTATAGGTTTACTGTACATTTTTTGAAAAAGTAGGAGTTTTTTGGTACTGTAGCAGCATTATAGCAGCACTGTAGCAGTACTGTAGCTGTTTTTTGAGTTGATTTATTTGCAAAAGTAGAAGTGGGACAATTTTTTTGATACACCTAAAAAAGGAAAGTGTGACAATAAAAGTGATACGGAGGGAGTACATTCTAAGAACAAGAGTATTATAACTCAAAGTAACTTTTTAAATTTCAAAACCCCTTTGGTTACCATTTTTTCCAAACTTTTTCACCAAAAACTGATTTTTGCTTTCATGTTTTACTTTTCTGGTGAATTTGATAAAGACAATTGTTTTACGGTTTTACCTAATTTTCAAATAACTTTTATTTATCGTATTAATAAAATAATTTCCTTTTTAATTCATTAGAATTAGTTAATTCAGACGTTTCAACAAGAATTTCAACAATTTCAATAGATTAAACCAATTTTCGGGTTGTCAAATTTTAATTTTTGTAGTGATGTCACAAACCTGTAGTAACTCACGCATGTGGCATCCATAATACATTGTACTTGGTATATTAGAAAATCAATAAAAAAGTGACAGGTGACCCTTCTTACAAATAATAATTGATTCAAGATCCATAGTATTTACTTATGAATTACTTTGGATTGTTAATGCAAATGATGGTCAACAGATGAATTGATGTGAATTTTATGCACCAATCACATATATTGTCCTTATTAATTGCCATCTGAAATCTGAATATAACTACACCAATCACATTTTAGAACACGACTACATATACCTTCATGCAAACAAGTTTTTTGTTCTCACACACACAAATTTGTTCGTGTATGAGAACAAAAAACTTCTAGGTGTGAAGGTTGTGTTAAGGTGTGCATAAATCGTTACTATTCTCGTTTATCTGATGCATTCCATTTAATACAAACCAATAAACAGGCAATGCGGATGTCGGGGACCATCTGTGTGGCAGGATGGTTGGCCATTTATTTTGCTAAGGTTGGGCATTCAGTTCAAGTTTAATTTTCTGTTCATAACAAGAAAATGTGAGTCAGTCTAACAATGCATGTGTTTTTTCAAAGGGAGCTATGCCTATGGACATTGGAAGGTTGGCAACCGGATATGGAATGGGAGTCTTTTCTTATGTGGTGATGCCTATGTTCCTATCTATTTAACATTTGATATATCTTCATGTTCTTTCTACCGTATGATACAAAACCTGCAACTACCTTAACCATGATTCCATTGCCTTCATATTAAGCAGGTACCAGTGTTTATAGCTGAAATTGCACCCAAAGAGTTGCGAGGAGCATTGACAACGATAAATCAGGTTAAATAAGTTACATATAACTCCGAGGTTTCAAGGCTTGGAACATACTTATTATCAAGACTTCGAGCTAGTGAGCTACACTCTAAAAGGTTAATATGATAGGGGAAATAACTAAAGTTTTGAACTTTTAATTTCATATTCGGCTAATGTGAGATGACTCAATGCTGAAATTTTGGAATTCCCTGGGATTCTTTATTGGTCTTAAGCTATCTATAATGCAAAGTCGTATCTCTCTAGTTACTAAGATCTAAACAAGTTTATAGATTCTAGGGGGTACGGGTTAATAATCTACGAATAAAAAATATTGTAGGTAAACAAATAACCATCATAATTGAATACCTAAATGTTACTGTACTTCAAATAACACCAAAGTTATCGATCCGAGGGGGTGCATATTAATGAGATGGAATGTCTAATGCCTTTTCGCATGGATTTGTGTGAGCAGAAAGAACGGGGCATGCTTTAGAACATAGGTTCATTATCAATATGTTTTATTGGAAATGCCAAAAACATCTCTCAACTAAAAGATTTAAATAGGAAGATTTCAAGAAATTGCCGGAGAAAGTGGGAAAGGGGGGAATAGATGTAGTAGTCTTGCGTTTGTTTAATTTTCATGCAGAGAAAGGCTATATATTTCTTGTGGTTGTTTACCTTCATGCCTTGATAAATTGTTCATTCGTGTTTACGTTGCAGCTTATGATTTGCACTGGAGTATCAGTTGCATTCATTTTGGGGACAATTCTGTCATGGAGGGCTTTAGCATTAACTGGTTTGACTTCTTGGCACTAATGGAAATGATGTATTATTGCTACTACTTATTATAATACAAGCTGATCACTTGCAGGGATAATCCCATGTGTTGTTCTTGTTATGGGCCTCTTCATCATTCCAGAATCTCCTAGATGGCTGGTGAGATGGAGTGTTTTTAAATTAAAAAAAGAGTATTAGTACCAACCAACTTTAATTTATATTTTCCAGAGTATGCACAAAGCTTCACATGCATAAATTGTTTTTTCCCGCAGGCAAAAATCGGAAATCAGAAGGATTTTGAGAATTCGCTGTACAGACTTCGTGGAAAAGATGCTGACATAACTGCTGAGGCAGCGGAAATCATGGTTCATAACTTCTAAAACTCGGCCTCGTGTCTCGAGCTCACATTCTCAATATATCATTATTATGTGGCAGGATTACATTGAAAGCCTTGAAAAGCTCCCACAAGCCAGATTGCTTGATTTATGTCAACGAAGATACTCGCGCTCTGTCATTGTATGTTTCTTTGTTCTTGTAATTCAGTTTTATAGTTAACATGCAACAACTTTCTGTTACAATCAGGTTAGTTTATGGTCAGGTGGGAGTTGGGCTAATGGTATGTCAACAACTTGGTGGCATTAATGGAGTATGTTTCTACACCAGTAGTATATTTGAGTCCTCGGGTAGATATTTCAAACAAGTCTCTACTGCATTTTACATTTAGTTTTTAACTGCTATAACCATATATACCTTTTCCACTTGGACATTTTATGATATCACCGTTTTTTTCTTTGATTCACAGGGTTTCCTTCAAATGTAGGAACTGTAATCTATGCTATTCTCCAGGTTTCAACACTTTTAATCTGGCAGATACACAACAAAAGAAACTGTCATTTGTAATGGACTTTGTCCCGGAAGTCAGTTACCAGCGAATGAAAAAGTTCTGTAACAAAATCGGGTTAATCCTTTACAGAGCTTTTATAATTGACAAGATCCGTTCGTCACAAAGGCTGTTACAAATGACAACTTTCATGTGTTGGTGATTGAGATTTAGTATGTTGGTCAACCTCATAGAGAGTAGCCTAAAACCTTATATGCGAGTGAGTCTGTATAGTTATGGTATGAGATGTATGCGTGTAGCCTAAAACATACTCTCAAGATACTAGTCTAGCAAGCCAATATTGAAGCGTGCATGTTCATTTTAGTTTTAAACGGATTGATGTCCCGTTTGGACCTAATTGATTCTAGCATCATATTAAGACCATGGGGCTTCATGGTCAATTTGATAGAGGAGTAATACAAAGCTTTATGTGTGACTTTGTGTCTTTAATTTTAATTAGTATGAGATGTCTTAACAATGATATATGAAAACCAGATATCATTCATTGGGCTATTAAACTACATGTATCTTAAATGCTTGCTCACTTTTACCACTTCTTTTTTATTTTGGTAGGTTGTAGTCACTGCATTAGGTGCAGCCTTAATAGACAGAGCAGGGAGGAAGCCTCTATTAGTGGTATAATAATAACTAAGCACAAAATGCTATTCACTTAAAAATTAAGACTGTCTCATGCAACATAAGGCTAACCTTCATCTCCTCTTTTCCAGGTCTCAGGAATAGGACTTGTCGTTGGTTGTGCACTAACAGCCATCTCATTCTTTCTGAAGGTAAATGCCTAACAGTAATGTATTCCTGGCCTTCATTTCATTAGTGTTATTATGATGCGTAAAGAATGATTTTGATGAAATAGGGACATGAAATAGCTGTCAGTGCAGCACCATTACTTGCTGTTACAGGAATACTGGTACACCTTACTGTCTTTGCCTATCTATATCATCCAAATTCATTATCATACCAGAAACAGCCCGCTTTTGTTCATTAAAAGAGGTGTATTCGTTTGAGCATCTACTAACAATTGTTTGTGGGATTCAGGTGTACATCGCGTCATTTTCAGTTGGAATGGGAGCAGTCCCATGGGTAGTGATGTCTGAGGTAGCCTGCAAAGCCTAAAATTAAGTGTTTTTTCACTCTTAGTCTTCTGACTATCTGGCTATAACCCTCATTTTCGGGCCCATATATGATTTTTTCCACTTTCAATACTTACTATTGTGACAAGGATAGTTTTGAAAAACTAAAAGTTTAAACTTTTGATCTTTTGTTGTAACAAAGACAATTTTGGGTCGCCTTTGAATTTTTCATCCCCCGGTTATTGTGATAATGATATTTTTTTCTCCTCAAATCATTGTGACACTTAGAATTATGTTCTCCACCTACTATGACAAATTGCAATGATGAGTACCAAAAGTGTCACTACTACTCTCACGATGACTAAAAGTAAAAGGTAGATTCTATGGTACCCATAAGGTACCATACCTTTGTCCACATGGACTAATGAGAATGTAGCAGTTAAATTATTTAAATCTAAAATAAAAATGATAAAGTGATATGGTCCAATCAAATGAATGATAGGTATGATACCCCATATTTTAGAAAGGTACCGGAGTTGTCACCAAAGTAAAAAAGAATTAAGTTAATTAGTGTATAAAAACCATGTCACTCTCATAGTCTCATGATGACTGAAATTAAAAAAAAATTAGGACAAGCTTTTAAGAATGTCTCTATCGCAATACCCAAAACCTCATAGTAATAAAAGGTGAAAACTTAAAAAATGAGTACCAAAAGTGTCATTGTCACGATAGTTAGAGGATCGGAAGAGGAAGGAAAAAGCTCCTAATAAGAAATTTCTAAGTCATAGTCCAACATTTCCACCTCCACCTCAAGAGTTTTGTTATGTGCTACAGATATTTCCTATAAATATAAAAGGAGCTGGTGGAAGCCTTGCAACCCTAGTGAATTGGTTTGGAGCTTGGTTATGTTCCTATACTTTCAACTTCCTCATGGCATGGAGCTCGTTTGGTAGATATAAAATCTCTCAACCATTCTTTTTTCTTTTGATGATGTTGAAATGAAAACTCTTAGATACTTGAAAGAAACAATGTAATGCAATGCAAAACTGGTGGATGAGCACTAACTATGTGGATTTACATGGTTGCAGGAACTTTTGTTCTATATGCAGTAATCAATGCACTTGCCATTTTGTTTGTGATCAAGGTAGTGCCTGAAACAAAAGGAAAAACACTGGAACAACTACAGGCTGCTATCAATGCATAGTAACATATATATTTCCTTTTTTTATTTATTTTCAAAAGAAATGAATAAAAAGAAATTGCAGTGGTGGATTATTGCCCAAAAATCTTGGTGTAAATTTATATGGATTATTTTCGTAGCTTCTTGTAAGCTATTCGTAGTACCAAAAGGTAAAATTTCCACCTCGGAGCCTATGCTCGACCTGAAAGCAAGCGTAGTTAGACATTAAGAGCCCGTTTCGTAGAATTGAAATTGGTTGAATCGACTAGACATTGATGAATTGAATTATGCAAAAATTATATTGACAATATCCTTTATTAATAAAATAAAAAAAATTATATGAAAATAGCTAAAATGGTACTCCGATCCAATTATACGTTAATCATTTGGGTATCTTAATCATATTGAGGTCACCTCAATTAATGGTACTCTAGTGCCTTGATAAATAATAATTACCCGGTACCTTAATCATTTTTATACTAAATTACCACCTTGATAATTAGTTTAAAGCAATTTTATTTTTGATCTGATTATGACCTTTCTTTTAAGAGATGACTTTGGGGTTAGAGACTTCTGACAAGAGCTCTATATATCATCTTGATCTACTGTTTAGGATATTCGAAATTCACAAACAATTCTTCCATATTCACTCTTGCTTCGTTGCATCTTTGAGTTCATCGGAGTCCGTTGGGGAAAAAGAATCGCTCTATCCTGGGAGGCGTCTGCATGCAGAATTTTAGTACACACATATAACAAAATTTCGATCATCACATAGCACATACCGATTTAAGATCTTTTTTTATATCATCAACTAGCTACTTGTATTAATTAACCAGATGACTTACAATACAATCCGGAGCAACATCAACATACTTATGTGATCTGAGAGTAATATATGTGCTCTAGCCAAAGCATGAGTTACACGATTCACATATCGTTTACAAAAAGAGACTCTATAATTACTCTTTGTTAAAAGGAATTCCTTAATATCTTTAAGAATTAAATGAATATAACCCCCCCCCCCCCCGGCAGAAGACCTTGGACTATTGTAAGTGCATCTGTCTTGAAGTCTACGTTCTGCCAGCCAGCTGCAACTGCGTCTTCTATAACGTCTCTCAGACCTACTGTTTCCGTTTCCGCCGAGGACCATCCTGCTCTAATTGAGACTCCTCCTGCCTTGATGAACTCTCCCTGCTCATCTCTCGCCACCCAACCCCAAGCTCTCTTGTCGCCACTCAGGTCAACCGCTGCATCAACATTTACTTTAATAATTCCCCTCCCCGGTCTACTCCAGACCTGTTCACCGATTTAAGATCATAAATAAACTTAAAGACATTATTATTTTGCCTATTTACGGGATATAGTTCCTTTAATAGAAGTAAAACATTTAAAAGCCCCTAAATAGGAGTTTTTAAATTATAATTATAAATATAATTATAGATATAGTTGTAATTATAGTAAAATTAATATAATTATAAGTATAATTATAGTCATAATTATGGCTATAGTTATAATTATAATCATAGTTGATGGAGTATATGTGTCACGCCCCAGACCGCGTCTGTGCCACGTGGACAACCGTCGTACAACCCAATAAGAATAACCGCAGTTCATCCTTACCGAATTATACAAGACGTCCGAAAGATACATATGCCAAAACCGATTAGTAAACATACATAACAACATCAACATACAATCAAACACATAGCGGAATATAAGTGTTTAGTAAGAACCCACACAAGGGTAAAACAAGAGCTCGCAGGCTCCATTAATTTATAAGTGAAAATAGTTCCATGAGCATTGTTTAATTATTTAAAAATGGAACGAGAGGAAGCACGAACCACGTCTTCTCTCCATTGATCTCCCGAGCAACGGGTGCAGGAAGTAAGCTCTAGCTTCAACCTGAAAGGGTGGTTCCCCCGAGGGATTAGTACTACAGAAAAGTACTGGTGAGGGCAAACTGTATGTAATGTAACTAACGTTTCTCACGTGAGACCCTCAAAATAGGGTGATAGTATAATTATAGGCAGAACTCAGCTACCCCTTTTCAAAACAAAATGTATGCATATATACATATGAGTAAAATATCTGGCTCGTGGGCCCATTTGTCCTTCAAATCATTTAGGCGTGACAGCCTCATTAAATTCACCCTTCCCGTATCTCACCCTCGAGTGGAGTCACCCGCAAGCTAACTCACTCGATATCAAAATATAATTACTGTGGGGCCATTCAGACTCCCATATCACGGACGTGGTTTAAATCAATTCCTAGACCAAGGAAAATATCCTATCAGAAAACTCGTTCCCGATCAAGCACGTTTAATCATTTAACATCATTACTTTGATGTTCACCTACCGCGAGGACTATCCGTCCTTGCTATCATAGTTTTCATTTCCGGGATAACCCCGCCTTGAGGAGTACGCATACACCCTCATCCTATGTGTAATTTACTGGAGGTTAACACACCTCAAGGACTACACGGGCTTTTGTTACCTATGTGTAATTTGATGGAGGTTAAACACACCTCAAGGACTACACTTGCCCTTGTTACCTATATGCACTTTGATGGAGGTTAACACACCTCAAGGACTACATTTGCCCTTGTTACCTATATGCAATTTGATGGAAGTTAAACACACATCAAGGACTGCATTTGCCCTTGTTACCTATATGCAATTTGATGGAGGTTAAACACACCTCAAAGACTGCATTTGGCCTTGTTACCTATATGCACTTTGATGGAGGTTAACTCACCTCAAGGACTGCACTTGCCCTTGTTACCTATGTGTAATTTACTGGAGGTTAACACACCTCAAGGACTACACGGGCCCTTGTTAACGTTTGAGTGTAGAGGACTCCTCCTGGTCCTACAGAGTATTACTTAACCTTATTTGGTCCCGGGTATTCACCCGCCATGTATAATCTACCACGTATCTCGCTCAGTCGTGGTCTATAATTTATTCACTAACGACTAGTCCAAGTCTTAGCGTTTAATCCGTATTACAAGCCTTAGCATTTTAAACATCATATTTCATGCAATTCCATGCAAAATATTCATATATAGGATGGCTAGAATTAATCCCACGTCGAACCGGGCTCCGATTCGCATTTTCGGCGAAAACGAAAATTGGAGGCAGCAGCTTACCCGGCCCCGGGTATGCCCTATACCCGGCGCCGGGTATGTTCGGAGTTTTGGGTCAAAGGCCTGTTGACCTCCGAGTTGACCCCCGGAACGTGCTCCGTTTGGCCCGAAATTTTTACACAATATGTATTATGTCTAATACAATCAATAAATGCTATTTTGGCCATTCGAACATATCTTATATTTTATATAAATATTTCCAATCATTTTCATGTATAATACTTTAGTTTATTTCTCATAAACTAGTTTGCTTTCATAACTTGCATGGTTAAGCACCTTTAATTCTTCAAAAGGATACCACCTTGCATTTCCTTTAATCACCTCATGAGATGAGCCATTCGTGATTCATCATTCAATTAGAATATTATAGTCTCACAACTATTAATAAGTATTTCATACTTATTAATTATTTATACTTTTTATTCTAGTTTATTCCTCACAACTAGATCATTTTAGTAACATGCACTCTTAAGCATTTCTAAAATAGTTACAAGAATATTACTTGAGTTACTTTGGTCATTTCTCAAATGAGCCAACAAAATCATTTATATTAATTAATCATACCTTGTATTTTTTTTTACCTTAGTTTATTTCTCATAAACTAAATTCACTTTAATGGCTTGCATGATTAAATACTTGAATCCTTCAAGAATACCATCTTGAATTTCCTTGGTTAATTTCCAAATTAATCATTCATGATTATCCTTCATCAAAAGTATTAATGATTCAATTACCCATTAATCATGCCATTTTCGCATAACTTATCATCAATATAGTTGATTTTAAACACTTTTAAACATTTCTTTACATATTCATACACTAGATTACTCTAGTTGTCTCATACATAGTTCATGTATGCATTGTTATACATTTGACCATAACATATTCATGGTTAATCCACAAATAAATCTTTTATTCATTAACCATATAATATTTTCATAATTCATATTCACCATGACGAATCATGCATTTTAATCCATTTAATCATTTCTCAAATAATGACTATGATTTTATTTAGGTAATCCCACGTTTGACTCAAGAGTTACAAGACACGTAGTCGTCCACTCACCTTGAAATGACGCTAGCAAGCTTTTATCCTCTTTGTTTGAACTCCGGTGACTTTTGGAATTTTCCGGCGACTTTCCGGCCACTCTTAGATTCCTCGAGAAGTCTATAATACATTGGTAAAATTCCTAACAAGTTTTCACAACCAAAAGTGGTATAAATGTCAAAACCTTCCAAGAAGGTGTTTTCCGGTGAACCGGTCTTACTCCGGCCATAACTCCGTTCATGGTTAAACTTAACCTTCCAAACCCTCATTCAACACCTCTAGAAGTTTATCATATGATTTTATAAAATCATATGATATTAAATGAAGGAAGAAAAATACTATTGAAGTCATTACCTTGGTTTTAGTAAGTTTTTCTCTTCTTTTCCAAGCTTTTATTCTTCCTTGAGCCTTCTTCCTCCTTTAGCTCGGTTCATGGCTATGGAGGTATGTTTACAGAGGTTCTTCTCCCTCTCTTGATGGTGCTGGCCGAGTGGGTGATTGAGGGGAGAGAGATTGATGTCCTTTTGGCTCATTCCACCCATAATATTAAGGAAAAGGGTCCACATATGTCTCTCATTGATGCTCATCACTTCAAGCCTACTTCCTATTTCTTTCCTACCATTATACAGCCGTCCATTTGTCTACTTTGCTGAATAATTTCGTGGGGTGGCCCCCACTAATGTGGGAGGTCATCCCTTTAAGTCCAAAAGTGTACAATCAGTCCCGAAAGTTGTATTTTCTGGATTGTTTCAATTATATTTTATTTTATCGCGTTAAATAAAATATATATCATTCTTCCAATTAATATTGGCCTCTAAAATGAATATATATTATCCCACTTTAATTTCGTGGTCGCCGAAATTAATTTTGGGCTGTTATCGGTTTAATTACCTATACCGGTAATGGGACCTCGTTTGATCGAAAGACCAACTTTATGGCTCAACATTTATTTACAACCTCATATAAATATTATCTAAACCAAGATGAATATAATATGTGGTCCGTAAACATCGGATGGTCCCGCCCATGTGTGGGCCCAACGTGCATTTTACTGTTCAAGTAACAGTAAAATGAGAACACGTTGCTTTAAAAATTCATCCATCATTCCTAATGACTAAATTAAATATGTGTTTTCATATTTTGTGACACTTTAATAAAATGTTACACTTATTGTTAAGTGGTCCCAACTGTATAAGCAGATAAAATCTTATCTGTTTATTCTTATACGAAAATATCTTCAAGGTAGGGTCCTCCAAAAGTACCCACCTCTAATATGTCAATTTAATCATACATTATCATCCCATTATTTTTGTTTTTTAAAACATTTATATTCCTTCTGTTATTAATTTGTAGCCTTCCGAATTATTATCAGTTCGCTGATTAATGATTCACAATTATCGAATAGAGACCCCAGCCCGCTTGACCGTCTAGTTGTCGTTTCTTTATATCACTGGGTCCATGACCCATCCCTACTATCATAATAGTATCATTTTGGTAAACATTAATATTTTATAAATGAACTTAGAATATCACGAGAGGTTCCACGCCAAAATTAATAACCCTTTATTAATTTAAGACAAAATTTTACTTTCTTATTTATCAAGACTACTCTTAGTCTTGATTTACCTTCTTTGTCTCAGTAATTGTTGAAAAAAAAAATTCTCACAGAAAAAATTCAGGTCCAGTGTTACAATATGGCCCAGGACCCCCCGATCCACATACTCCCACTATCTCAAATGAGCCCAGCTACCGTAGCGGTCCAAATACAGCAGCTTAAATACGACAGCCCAGGCACAGACACCCTGAGGGCCCAAACCCGAGGGATTCAAACTACAACAACCTGGCACGGTTCGCCTCAACAAGGGAATCGGGTAATTCACATCCCCATTAGAGCCTTCGGCACCGAGGGCATAGCCCTCAACCTCAGCACAGAAAAGGCATTTCGTCCAGCGTTTCTCATGTCAACGCCCAACTTCTGCATTGAATGATGTGCCACGTGCCCGCCTCCTCACCACAGGGGGAATACTATTCGCAATAGATTAACTTAAATGTGTATGTGCATTTAATACATGCACATAACATTTATGACCAGTTTATATAGCAGTCCCTTGGGCAGTTGTGACAGACCACTACTCATTTAATACGATTGCTCCCTCTCTCTTGTTTATTAGTTCTGCCTTCTCTCTAGATACCGTTAGTGGTATCCCAATATTAGCTATCTATCAATAGTCATAATTATGATTATAGTTATAATTAGGGAAAAATTGAAAATAATAATCCCAACTATTGCCGGTCCGTTGAAAATAATCCCAACTATTGATTATTTTTGTATAATCCCAACTATATAGACTATCCGCCAATAATGGTCCATGACCATATATTACCTCTATAAAAAGTGAATTTTAAATAGAAATTAAGCGTAAAAATTAAAAGTTGAGATTATTTATAAGGATTACTTGTTATATCTCACCTCATCGACTTTAGAAAGTACAAGAATTTATTCATAGGGACCATTATTGGCGTAAGGTCCCTAAAGTTGGGATTATTCTGTAATAATCAATAGTTGGGATTATTATGAGCGGACCGTCAATAGTTGGGATTATTACTATCAATTTTTCCTTATAATTATAAAGGGAAATAGACTTAAATAGGATTAAAATAAGAGATGGGAAGGTAAGTAGGACTTGAATCTTTTTAAACCCTAAATAGGAATAATTTTGAAGCAAGTGACAAAACTGCCCTTACTAATGCCGCTTGCAGCCTCGCAGCAATGTCGCAGCAAATTTGAACTCAAGTTCCCGTCTGCATCAGATTATCCGCAGGAGTAGTAGTCGCTGAAGCTATTCACCAACCAAGTAAAATGGACATTGTGTATGGGGTCCATTTTATGAAACTCGACTCAGGCCTGAGTTTAGGCAGGACCGGCACTGGGAGTGACAGGGTGGGGATTTTGGTTAGGTCAGATCTGGATGTTGCTAGATCCATGACGGCGGCGGCTGTGGTAGGACTGTGAGGTCGTGGTGGGCATTGATAGGGGCTGGTTGGAACTTGTTTGACAATGACAGGGTTGGAGATTCGGCTGACGGCCGACAGAGTCACCTATCGTAGGACACGTCGTCAATGGCGGTGCAGTTGTGGTGTGTGGAGTCGGACAATACACGACGATGGAAGGCAACGACAGTGGCGGTGCTCTGGCAGTGGGGTGGACAGACTTGGTTAAAATTTGCGGGAAAAAGTGGCCTGAAAAATTTATGGCGATCATAGTGACATGTCCGACAGCGTCAGTGACATGGCCCACAACGTTAGTGACATAATCAGCGGCATTAGTGACATGGTCGACGACATCAGTGACATTGGCGGTGGTCGTAGTGATATTGGCGGTGGCCATAGTGACATAGAGAATCCGATAGTGACATCACACAATAACATTAAAATATAGCAGTGACATCAATTAGTCACATTTTTGTCCAAATTTAAATGTGGTCACTTTTTTTTTGGAAATTGGCTTTTTATAGTCGGCCCGGGCTTTAATCAGAATTATTGTATGGTTTCTTCAGCTACTCAACAATAGAGATTCAAGATGTTCATGATCTATGATCTATAGTGTTAAATTGGGGGTCCTCTAAATATTTGAAACTAAATTGGATCTCATAGCACTTCGATCGAATCGCTGAAGCTATGAATTTCTTCAAGTCGATTTTAGCCGATGATTCGGATTCTCCCGAGCCCGAAAGTGACCGAGAGTCTGAACAGCGCTCCCCATCCAGGCAAGACGCAAATCCAGAAGAAACTGAGGAGGATGACGATGACCGGAATTTCCAATCAAAAGACGATCTCAATTCAAGCTCCAGCCCAACTACGGCCAATAGCAGTGCGGGTGGTTGGAGTTTCGGAGGTCTGATGAAGACATTAGCCTCTCGATCCGAGTCCGTCCTCGAAACTTACCGCAGGGATCTGGAGGAATTCGGGTCTGGTCTTAAGAAAGAGACGGATCTAATCCGAGATGTTGCCAGCCGCGCGGTCAAGGAGCTCCCTGATGTCGGCGCGTCGGTGGCTCATGTTTCTTTGGGATCAGTCAGCAAAACCATTGATGGAGTGTTCAAATCAACCGCTGAGATCATTTCTCAAGGTAAAGACTCTCTCCTTCATGCACCTTATGAGGCAGCCGCCGAACCTGTAACCCCCGATGCTAGCCGGAACTTGGATTCTCGTCGTTACAGTAGGTTTGATGCCCAGCTGACCACAATCCAAAATGATCCAAATACTTTCTCGGAGGAACCGGAGGATTTTGAAGATTATACGAAATGGAAATCAGAGTTCAACTTAAATGATAAGAGGGATGAATTTGTGAACTTGATTGCAGAAAACAGTACCCTAGAGGGTGTTTACAAAAGGCTTGTACCTACAGGTGTGGTTGATGAAGAGACCTTCTGGTGTAGGTACTTTTACAGGGTGCATAAGCTCAAGCAGCAAGAGAGTGTTAGAGCTAAGCTTGTGAAGAGAGCAATATCTGTAGATGAAGAAGAAGTATTATCCTGGGACGTAGATGATGATGATGAGGATGCTAATCATGAGGAAACCAGTAGTGCAAAACTAACTATAGATGAACAGGGGAGTAATGAACAAGCTGGTATTGATAATGATCAAGATTCATCCAAAATTGCCGAGCCAGTTATTAAAGCTAATAATGATGAATCGAGAGATGTCAGTGCTGTTATTGTTGACGAAAAGAGACAAACTGAAGCCAATGCTGATAGTTCTCCTGAAAAGACTACTATTAAAAGCTCTGTTGTTGAATCCAGTGGGGATATCAATTTGCCTGAAGAAAAAGCTGAAGAAAGTTTGGAAGTGGCCAAGGATGCTTCTGCTTTAGTGATGTCAGTGGAGGGGGAAAGTGATCAGGGAGCTTCGGGTAAGCGCAATGGCAATTCTTCTTTGCAGGAGGAAGATGAAGACTTTGGCTGGGACGAGATTGAAGATATTGAGAGTGGTGATGACAAAAAAATGTCTTCTCGTGTTCAAAGTGCAAATAGGGATGAGGTGAGGAAAAGGCTTGCTGAAGAAGATGACGAGAATTTGAGTTGGGAAATTGAAGATGATGATGAGCCTGCTAAAGCTTGATTCTTGGCCAATCTCCCGAATTGCTGTATTTGGGTACTTGAGGTTCTCAACATAATTTATGAAAAGATATACAGCAGGAGCTTGCAAGTAAGACGAAGATGCATATTTTAGAGAGCTTCTATTTGTGTAGTTCGCCTGTTGTTTTTAAATTGTCTTCCATGTTGAAAACTTTCCTTGATAAATTGCTTGGTTTGATATAGTAGTAAACTGCAATATTAAATTTGTTGACGAGTGAATGCCTCTGCAATTGCCATTTTGTAACAAATGAAATATTAGGCAGTTTGAAGCGTCTGATTAATGGTAGCTATGAACCACTTGTATGGCTGTATCATTGTATGCCATTTTGAATTGTCTTGATCTCAAGACAGTGAGACTATTTTCTACTTTTCATTACAACACACTGTAAGAACATACTGATCTAAACATGTCAAAAACTCCCAGAACACATTCAGATCAATATGATGTTTAGCGGAAGCAAAATATGGAATTACATACCTCCAGCCATCTCCTTGAAGAACACAATGAACTGCCCTAGATGTTTTGCTCTTCCAAGCCCTTCTCTTCACCTTCACTAGATGGTATGTGTATACTAATGGTAAGGAGCAGACTCAGGGTGCCGAAACAAGAGCCAATCGGCCGCTATTTAACGAGCTCTTCCCATCAAGGAGCTCCCATCGTGCGGCAAAAGAATAGGGAGAAGTTACCGATCTTCTCTCTCGCTAATGAGTTGGGGAAATAATGGGTAATCTTTATCTAATAAATGGACCACTTCAGATTAGTTTTTCCCCTTAAATAAATGTACTTTATTTTCTGAATAATTAATATTAAAATATTAATTTAAAACTTCCGTAACTAATATGGGAAAAACTAACATTCTCCCACTTGGTCCATTTAACCCATTATCAAACCTTATAAGAGATAAACATATGAATCATGGAGACAAGTCCTTTGCTATAAAGTATTATCATCCATGTATTACAATATATTAAATCTCTTAAACATATGCTCTTGACTTAATGAATAAACCACATGTTTATTATAAGCCCAAATAAATTAGTATTTCTCAAAACAATCATTAATGTGCACAATAAATTTGAGAATACACCAAACTGAATAAGAGTTCCATAATAAATAAATTTATGAAAGCTAAATCATGGTACCAAGTCCCATGAGAACTACATGATCCTGAAATTTCTTTGGTGGCATGCCTTTAGTTAAAGGATCAGCTATCATTAACTCAGTGCTAATGTGTTCAATGACCACCTTCTGGTCTTTGACACGTTCCCTTATGGATAAATATTTAGTGTCGATGTGCTTGCTTCGACTTCCACTCTTATTGTTCTTAGCCATGAAAACAGCAGCTGAGTTATCACAATATATCTTTAATGGCCTAGAAATAGAGTCCATAACTCTAAGCCCAGATATGAAACTCTTCAACCACACACCATGCGAGGTAGCCTCAAAACAAGAAACAAACTCAGCTTCCATAGTAGAAGTAGCTATTGAAGTTTGCTTTGCACTTCTCCAAGAAACAGCTCCACCAGCTAGCAAAAATATATAACCAGAAGTTGATTTTCGGGTATCAATGCAGCCAGCGTAGTCTGAATCGGAGTAGCCCACTACTTCCAGCTTGTCACTTTGTTTGTACATGAGCATGAAATCCTTTGTTCCTTGGAGATATCTCATCACTTTCTTTGCAGCTCTCCAATGCTCAACCCCTGGATTAATCTGATATCTTCCCAAAACCCCAACAGCATATGCAATGTCGGGTCTAGTGCAGATTTGAGCATACATAAGGCTTCCAACGGCTGAAGCATATGGGACATTTTTCATTTGTTCCCGCTCAAAATCATTCTTGGGGCATTGACTTAAATCGAGCTTATCTCCCTTTACAATGGGAGCCACACTAGGTGAACATTGCTTCATGTTAAATCTCTCTAAAACTTTGTGTATGATATAGGACTCTTGAGACAGGCCTAAAATGCCTCTAGATCTTTCTCTATGGATCTTTATGCCAATGACAAAAGATGCCTCTCCCATATCCTTCATATCAAAGTTCTTCGAGAGAAAACTTTTCACCTCACGCATCATACCAACATCATTAGTTGCAAGCAAAATGTCATCCACGTATAACACAAGAAAACAGATTTTGCTCCCACTAGCCTTGAGGTATATACATTGATCCATGATATTTTCCTTAAAACCAAATGAAGTAATAACCTCATTAAACTTGAAATACCACTGGCGGGAGGCCTGTTTTAAACCGTATATGGATTTATTTAGCTTGCAAACTAAGTGCTCACCTTCACTAGAGGAAAATCCTTCTGGTTGTTTCATATAAACCTCTTCCTCTAGATCACCATTAAGGAAAGCCGTTTTCACATCCATTTGATGTAGCTCAAGGTCAAAATGAGCCACTAATGCCATGATAATCCTAAGAGAATCCTTTTTAGATACTGGAGAAAAGGTTTCCTTATAATCAATTCCCTCTCTTTGAGTGAACCCTTTGGCTACAAGTCTTGCTTTATATCTCTCAATGTTGCCTTGTGAGTCTCTCTTGGTTTTAAACACCCACTTACACCCGATGGCTTTTACACCACTTGGCAACTCAACGAGATCCCAGACTTTATTAAATGCCATAGAATTCATCTCATCTTTCATAGCATCAATCCATAAGTTTGATTCCTTAGAACTCATGGCTTGTGAAAACGTTTCGGGATCATTTTCAGCTCCTATTTCACAGTCAGATTCTTGTAGATACACTACATAATCACTAGGAATTGCTGGTCTTTTGACTCTATTAGATCTCCTTAATGTGGCTTCATCATCTGGTTCAACAACGGGCTGTTCAACCAGTTGTTCACCAGATTGTTCACCATTGTTTTGTTGACCTTCAACAATGGTATGATCTATTAGGTCATTTCCAGCTTCATGTGGATTCTCATTTATTGGTTGTGTAGCACGCATCTGTTCTGGAGGAGCGTGTACAACAATCAATCTGTTACTTAGTTCGTGTGGTTGATTCTCAATGTGATCCTTTTCAGAAAAAATATTCTGAAATTCTTCACTCCCACTAACTAAGTCATTCTCAAGAAACTTGGCGTTTCTTGACTCCACGATCCTAGTGCTATGTGATGGACAATAAAATCTATAACCCTTGGATTTTTCTGCATATCCAACGAAATAACCACTAAGAGTTTTAGGGTCTAGCTTCTTTTCTTGAGGGTTATAGATTCTTACTTCACATGGGCAGCCCCAAACACGTATATGATTCAAACTCGGTTTCCATCCCTTAAATAACTCAAAAGGAGTCTTAGAGACAGCCTTAGATGGAACTCGGTTTAATATATACGCGGCTGTTTTTAGTGCTTCAACCCACAAAAATTGAGGAAGTTTCACATTACTCCTCATGCTTCTCACCATGTCCATTAAAGTTCGATTCCTTCTTTCAGCCACACCATTCTGGTCTGGAGAACCAGGCATAGTGTATTGGGCAACAATCCCATTTTCTTGAAGAAACTTCGCAAATGGACCAGGTGCTTGTCCACTCTCTGTATATCTACCATAGTACTCTCCACCCCTATCCGACCTCACGATCTTAATTTGCTTATTACATTGCTTCTCTACTTCAGCCTTAAAAACTTTAAAGGCATCTAAGGCCTCGTCTTTATAACGAAGCAAGTAGAGATACATGTATCGTGAATAATCGTCTATGAAGGTGATAAAGTATCTCGGACTATTTGCATCCATATCTGGACAACAAATATCTGTATGTATGATTTCTAAAAGGTTAGAACTCCTCTTGGCATCTTTCTTGTACTTGTTGGTTTGTTTACCCTTAATACAACCCACACAAGTATCAAAATCAGCAAAGTCTAGAGTACCAAGTACTCCTTCATCCACTAAACGCTTAATTCTCTTAATGGAGATATGCCCTAGTCTCCGATGCCACAACATAGAGGATTTCTCATTCACAACACACCGTTTGGAACCAGTTGTTACATGCATTGAATCATAAGCAACATCATTTTTCACATCAATTGAATAAAGACCATCAACTAAAGAACCAAAACCAATGGTTTTTGATTTATTTATTAAAGTAAAACCAGAACTTGAGAAATTGAAATTAAATCCTAAAGGAGCTAGTCTCGAAACAGAAATTAAATTCTTCGAAAAACTAGGAACATAAAAGGTCTTTTCCAATTTTAAAATAAAACCGCTGCTTAAAACTAAATTGCATGTCCCAATGGCTTCAACATGTGAACTTATTCTTCCTCCTGAATAGATGCATTGTTCACTTGCCACTGGTTTCCTTAGGTTTTCCATACCCTGCAAGGTATTAGAAACATGGATTGTAGAACCCGAATCAATCCACCATGTGTTGTGATTAATATTAACCATATTAGATTCATAACACACAAAAGCTAATGGAGTACCTTTCTTTTCGAGCCAGCTCTTGAATTTAGAGCATTCTTTCTTCATGTGTCCCTTTTTCTTGCAAAAGAAACACTTTGACTCTTTCTTAATGACTGCCTGTGGAGGGATGTTGCCTTTACCTTTGGCATGATCCTTCCTTTTCTTTTCATGAACAGTCAAGTTCACCCGTTCACCCTCTTCCATCATCAACCTCTCCTCCTCCTGAACACACATGGTCAGTAGCTCATTAATTGACCATTTTTCCTTATGTGTGTTGTAGGAGATCTTAAAAGGAGCATATTGCTGTGGAAGAGTGTAAAGGATGTAGTGAACCAGAAAAGCATCCGACATGGTTACCTCCAAAGCTTTCAGCTGAGCCGTTATGTCCCTCATGCGCATGATGTGTTCACGCACGCCTCTTATCCCAGTGAGCTTCATGGTTGCGAATTGCATGATTAAGGTGCTGGCAAGGGCCTTATCAGATGTAGCAAATTGCTCATCAATAGCCTTCAAAAGGTCCTTGACTTTAGTATGCTGATCGACAGAACCACGGATACCAGCAGTTATTTTGGTCTTTATGAACATTACAGAGAGACGGTTAGATCTCTCCCACTTTTCATAAAGATGAACTGCATCCGGAGTGCTGGTTGCCGTTATAGCCGGTGGTTCGTCTTTCCTTATAGCATAGTCAATGTCCATCCAGCCCAAATGAAGGAGAACACGCTCCTTCCAAACCTTATAGTTATCGCCCCTTAATTCGGGAATGTCACATTTCATATCAGAAACATTCGCAGGTTGAACAACTGTAAAATATAATATATACATGCTCATTATTAATATTTGAGGTAAAATGAAGTTCATGTTCTACCAATGCAAAACATGATTATCAATAAGTCTAGTGCCATAAAACTTACCTGTGGGCTAAAGTTTTACTCAATTAGACATATAAAGCAAACAATTTGATAAAACTATCAGATTATATTTCCTTTCTCAATTCCTGTGGGTAATTTGAGAAAAATAATCTAATATTTCATCCTAATTAATTATACTAATACAATGAAATTCCTGTGGGCAGATTTCAATATATTCATATAATTAATCACAAGTGATGCCTTAATGTGATTCAGAAACTTAATATACAGTTTGATTAATCAAAGATGCTGTGGCTATTCTTTAATCAATTAAACTATATATATCTTAATTCCAGATTTCAAGTTTCATTGAACTAAATAAATAAGAAACATTCTGGAGTATTACAAATCACATATAGCATTTTGGTTTTATAGTTAATATAAAATAAACTGTAGCTATTTAATTAAGCAATGGAGTATACCACTCACACGTAATCAATAAAGTGAACAAACAGGTAT